AGTGAACATGTGGGTGTGCAGGCATCCCTCTTGTGTTCTGATTTGTTTACTTAGGGTGTATAACCAGGAGTGCTATAGCAAGAGCCCTAGCAGGTCACTCTAGTTTAAGTAATTCTGAAGAATCTCCATGTTCATTTCCATGGCCGTTGGACTAATTTTCATTCCTGCCAACAGTACACAATGCTTCCTCCCCACATCCGGCTATCCTTGCCAGCATTTGCTGTTTGCTTTCTTGAGGATAGTCATTTTGGCTGTGCTGAGGTGGGAATCTCAAAGATTTGATTGTCATTTCTTCAATGCCTGAAGATGGTGCATAGTTTTTGTGTGTGTTTATTGGCCATTTGTACTTCTGAGAACTGTTTGTCCAGTTCATTTGCCCAAAGCATGCAAGTGTGGAAGTGCCATGAAACTAATTATTTTGCATAATTAATATACATTAATAAAAAGTTTATTAATTAACAAGGTTATTATTACTTAGAGTAATTTGCAGATTCAGCACAATCTCTCTTAAAATACCACTAAGAGTTTCCAGAGAAATGGAAGGAAAGATCTTAAAATTCATAAGGAACCACAAGAGACCTACAAGAAGCAAGACTGTTGTGAGCAGGAAACTCATAGCTGGAGTCATTACACGTTCTGCTTTCAAAGTATGTCACAAGGCTATAGTAACCAGAGCGGCATGGTGCCATCACAAGGACTGAGGTGCTTATTGTTTGTCTCAGAACCGAGAGTTCAGGATACACCCATGCCTAGGTGACTAGTGCTAAGAACACACAAGGAGAGGGCAGATCCAGTAAACAGGGATGGGGAAAGTTGGTACCCACTTGCAAAAGAATGAATTTAAATTCCTATCTTACACTATACACAAAAGTCAACTCACTCTAGGCCTGGTGGTGTGGGCTTATAATCCCTGCTACTTGAGAGGCAGGAGGATCATGAGTTTAAGGCCTGACTGGGATATAGCTCAGTGAAAGAGTGCTTGCCCAGCACATACAAGGCTCTTGGTTCAAGTCCCAGTACCACACAACAAAACCAACTCAAAATGGATGGAGGATGACACATAACAACCCAAACCCACAAAACAAGAAGAGAATAAGGATCGAGTTTCCCTAACAATGGTCCTGGGGGCTTTAGGAATACTACTCCTTAAACACAGGTAACAAAAACGAAAATACATCAGATTAGCAAGCAGCTGCATAGAAAGGGGACCCTTACAACCCAATGGCAAGGTGGCTCCCAACTGAAGAGGGCAAAGGACCTAACAGATGCATAGAGAAGACATGGCCAACAGCCTATGAAAAAATGCACAATAGCACATGTTATCATAGAATCTCATAGGAAGACCACAGTGAGATGACCAAGTGATGGAAGTGGTAAGGAGGTGAGGGACAGGAGACTCTTGCTCCCTGTTGGAGGTACTGGAAGCTGGTGTAGTTGTTACAGGAAACAGCATAGGCATTCCTCTAAAACTAAAGAGAGGAATACAGTATCCCACAATCACACTATGTCTTGAAGGAATTGGACTCGATATTCAGAAGAGAAATCCAACAAGTCTCATTCACTGTAGCCAGGGGAGGTAAACAGCCTGAGGGTGTGGATGGATGGATGGAAAGGAGAAGAGATGTCTAATCATATTTATTTGCCTGTCAAAAGGACATTCTGCCATTTTGAACAAGGGAGATACAGCAGACTGGGAAATCAATGGCTGCATGATTCCATGTGTACTGAACCTAAAGGAGTGGAATTCACAGCAGCAGAATGAATAGCATGGTGCCAGGGACTGGGGATTGGTGGAAGGGACAGGATTTTGCTCCAAGGATAAACTTCAGTCCAGAGGAAGTTATGGCATGGTGATAATCAATCAGGTTAATTTTTTTTTGAATGCTACAGTAAATTCAGTTGTTTTCTTAATTTATTTCTGGATAGTTTCATGGCAGTGAAACTGCTATGTGCATGTTGATTTTGTATCTTGCAACTTTCTGTTTTTTCTTATTAGTTCTAGCAGTTGTTTTATAGAGCCTTTGGGTTTATTATATATGTATAAATTATATATATATATATATATATATATATATATATATATATATATATGTTTTTAAATAGGGACAGTGTCTCATCTTTTCCAGTATGTGCCTCTTTAAAAAAAATTGAGCCAAGGTCTTTCTATGTTAGCCCAGGCTACCCTTGAATTTGTGATCCCTTTGATTCAGTCTTCCAAATGCTGGGAATACTCAGCTCTGAGTGCATCTTTTTTTTCTTGTCTAATTGCTTTGGGTAAAACTTCTAGTGCCATGCCTAACAGAAGAGGAAAGGGTAGGCATCCCGTCCTGAGGAAAGGCCTTTAACTTTTTGACACAGCATGATGTTAGCTTCTGGCATGTCATAGGTGTGTCACCACACACAGAGTGGTAATTATATATATTATAATTGATGGTCATGTTAATTGTGGTATCACTTCAGTGTGTGCATGCATTATCAAAATACCTTATTGAGCATCACATGCCCCTTAACTATGTAGTTTTTAATTTGTCAATTATACCTCAATAAAGCTGAAAAAAATAAAAACCACTCCTAAATGTATACTCTACATAAATTCTAGTTGCAACATGGGATACATTTAAATTTATATATTAGCTACATTGCCCGTGAAAATGGCCCTCCTGGGCATGTCTTGGGTAAGAACACAATTTGCATTCATTTTGTTGGCTCTCATGGATCTCCCCTCCCCTGCTTGTAGGTCTCTGTGACTCATTTGGCCATCTTGCATGTGAAGATACACAGAATCCCACCCAGATGCCCAACACCCAGGGCAGCTGACCAAGGCCTGCCCTTCTCATAGCCTTCAGCACAACCGGCAGGCACAGTGTGGGCTGAGGACAGGCATACCTTGGGCTCATGCCAAGGACTGTGCCATACTAGCAACCATGGACTCCCTGGAGCCGGCACTGGGGTGACAAAGGGAAGGGAGTGATCCCTGCTCCTGGTAGTCTCTGCTTGCTGCCCTCTGCGGGGCAGAGGTCCCTCGTTTGTGTTTACAGAGCCCTCCCAATGCACTCCTCCTCCCGACTCCCACCTGGGTCCCCACTGACCACTCTGAGGTAGCTCTCACTCACCTGTGTTCCAATAGAAGCCCCGCATGAACACACTAAAGCATCAAGTCCACAGTGCCTCAGAAATGCGTAACACTAGTTTATGCCTTCAGGGGGGCAGTTCAGTTTGGTCTGAAATGTTTCTACTACAGGAGGAGTATGTGTGCATGATGCTCAACTATGGATTCCTCTCTTGATCAGGGTTCCACAATCCCAGGGCTAACATCTTGAGGGAAAGGAAGGAGAAGACGGTCAGCTGGAAGAAGCTGTGGAAACCTCAATGGTTCACACCAGGTCCCTGAACTGCCCACTATGCCTGTCTCGATAATCATAGCAGGGCTGAGCATTCCTGCCTCAGTGGCCGTCAGTGGAGACTCGCTCACCTGCACTGTGCCACTTGAGGAAGCTTTGCAGCCTTCTGGGGCCTCCACCATCTGCCCAACAAGGACAAGACTCTCTCCTTGCTGTAGTGTGTGTGATGGGCTTTCTACACTTGGCCGTGATGCATCATACCATGTACACTGACAGTGGGTTAACTTAAAAAACGTGGATTTGGGATCCAGTACCCTCAAGTGTACCAACATGTCTGTTCTTTGATCAGAATCAAACCCATGAATATTCTGGAACTTGCTCCTCACAGTGTCACCCAAAGTCTGACAATATTCCAGCAATTTGTCTGGAATGTTGGCTCTGGGCACACCCTGGCTCTGCTGCCTTAGCATGTGTACTGAGCACCATGGGGTGGGAGTGAACAGCCCATAGGAGGACCCAGGGGAGAGCTTTCTTTTTAGTCTGTCATTGGTTTGACTTCCATCTTGAATGTTCCCGCTGCTGAGGTCTTGGTCCAAAGCTGCATGCGGGTTGAAAGGCAGGACAGCGGCTCCAGTCTGTGGGAGAAGAGGCATTCACTCCATTGCTGTGTGTAATCAGGGCCAGTAGTACATGTGAACATGGAGGGCAGACTGGGGCAAATGATGGGAAGCAAGTTGCCTCCCAAATGCGCTGTGACTTCTGACGATTTGTGAGTCTGAATCTGTGTTAGTGTGTACGGACGTGAGCAAACATATATGAGCGTGTCCATGAATATGCATTTATGTAAACGTGCACATATGTGTCTAGGCATGTGTGAGTGCACACATGACTGTGTGAACATATTAGTGTGCATATTCGAGTATGCTAGCATAGTGCATGCATGTGTGACTATAAGCACATATAAGTGTAAGATGTGAGTGGACACTCATGTCTACAACACATATGTGGCCATGGTAGTTTCGTAGTCTCTCTCTTATCCATAAGTAGTCTGTCTACTGTCTATCTGTCTATCTATCTATCTGTCTATCTATCTATCTATCTATCTATCTATCTATCTATCTATCTATCTATCATCTATCCTATTTATTATCTACTTACTTACCTGCCTACCTATCTCATCTGTCTGTCCGCATATTAGTCATCTTGGTCGGCCTATTCGTGATCTCCATGTCCATCTTGCTGCCCACATCTGTCTGTGTTCTGACTTCTTTCTAGTACAAGCAGCAGGATCCCCTGCCCACTTGCCCTCACTGCCTGAAGCTTTGTCCTCCTGGATGCTCCCTAGTGTGACACCTTTGCTGTTGACTCTGTGTAGGCCCCTTCTTCTGCTCCTGACTAAGCTTCTTCAGGGGGCGGGCGAATCTGGGGCTGCTCCCAGGGTCTGCTCCCTGGGTTACCAATGGCTCTGGTCAGTATCCCATGAATCACTGTCAGATGAGCAGCATGGGTTGAGCCCTGGTCAGGACAGTAGCAGGGCTGCAGGTGGCTCCTGGCAGCCTCTGTGTGTCAGGACAGTGTCTGGCTCTAGGAAGCACTGCTGCTTTGTAGCTACTATTTTTAGACAGTCCACTGCAGCGAGGTCTCAAATGGCCAGCTCTGGCAGAGGGCAGCAGAGGGTCCCAGCGACTGAGGTCCCGAGGGCCCTGGGCACTGCTGTGTGCCTGGAGATGTCACACAGGTGCACCCTGGATTCAGGGCTGCCCGCTCCAAATGAATGAAAAGACTCCAGCGAGGGGAGCGCATGCTTGGAATGACCTCATCCTGCTGCTGCGGAGAGAAAGCTGACGTCTGCTCTTATTTGCAGTCATTTTTCCTCCTTCCTGCAGAGCAGCCCTTGCTGCCGGGAGAGCACTTGGCAGGCGGCCCCACCGTGGGCTTGCCAAGGCAGCGTTCCGTCGCTGAGCACGGCTCAGAGCCCTCTGAGGGACAGCCGGGGAGGGGTCTCCCAAGGGTGAGTCTGGTGGACACCAGGTACCTCTTGAAGTGCCTGGCCCAGCTGTAACTCTGCATAAGGAGGCAGTGTGTCAGGTCAGGACAGGAGGGGCTGCTTCCCGGCTGCCTTGGAGAGTCAGTGGTGAGTTGGCCCTTGGCCAGCCTAGGAAGGGGCTCTCAGGCCTCACCACCAGGCTGGGCTCTATAGATGAACCTGAATCATGGTCTTTGACATTGAGCCAATGCACCTCAGCACAGAACTTAGGTGTAGGTGGAGCAGAGATGGTAAGGAGGGGCCCGAGGCCAGCCCAGGTGCCGTATGCCAGAGCTCTAGAGTTCAGGTGCAGGACAGAGGGACGGCTCTTCTGACTAGGAGGGGCAGACAGGAGCCACCGCAAGTGGGGACCTTGCCTAGAGTCCTGGAGGCTTTTTGAGGCCATGAGGCGAGTTGCAAGTGGCAGTTCTCTGGGGAATTGCTCCAGGTTCCCCTGTTGGTCAGTAGCCTACCCTGGCCTGCTGCCTGCCCTTGCAGTCCCTTAAGTGTGCCTGCCATTCGGCCACTCCTGTGCATAGCACAAAGCATGAGGCCAAGAGACCTCAACCACCTACCTTCCAGACTCCACCGTCACCATACAGAAATGCCATTGGTGGCCATCTTTCTCCAAGGGACTGAGGTGCTGTTCTTCTGAGTCCAGGGGAAGGGTTCACCCTAGACTTTCTTCCCTGTTTCACTTAAAAATAGGTTTGCACGGGCCACCAAGTTTTAGTCTGCACACTTACGTTAATGGGTTTTTAAGGACAGATGATAATCAACTAACCAATGTAGTTCTTGACTGTTAGGTCAGGATATACTTAAGACGTGGGGCTAACCAGTGAGGCACGTTATTCCCACATGCTTGCAACTGTACATTTCATCTTCATCCACAACCTCTCTCTCTCTCTCTCTCTCTCTCTCTCTCTCTCTCTCTCTCTCTCTCTCTCTTTAAAAGTACTGCTAGCCGGGTGGTGGTGGTGCACGCCTTTAATCCCAGCACTCGGGAGGCAGAGCCAGGTGGATCTCTGTGAGTTCGAGGCCAGCCTGGACTACCAAGTGAGTTCCAGGAAAGGCGCAAAGCTACACAGAGAAACCCTGTCTCGAAAAATCAAAAAAAAAAAAAAAAGTACTGCTATTCTAAAAGTAAGAAAGCATACAGAACATTCTTATCTGGCCACCTGTCATAAGGCTGGGAGAACACACCCCACCCTGCCGCTGCTGCTCAATTTCAGCAGTATTGATTTTATTACTCATACTTTATAAATGAGATGCTATTCTTAAAGAATGCAAACATTTGCTTGGTCGTGCTGCTGTCTCGGCCCAGCACAAACCTTTCCTTGATACATGCCCATTGATGATTAGTCTTGTCACTCTTCCACGGCAGGCTGCATTTTAATGATCGTTGCCTGCTGGACTACATACAGACTTTCTGTTTGCCATTGGAAAATTCAGTGTGGACTTGAACTTGAAAATGACTTGTGATAACATGTAAAGGAGGCTGCAAGTCTCTGGAGACCTGGGGCTTCCCCCAGGCAATGGCTTGCTGGAGGCTCTGCCTATCCTGAGGACCACCTCTGACCCCGAGACCCTAGCCGTATCTAATAGAGGATTCGCCACCCTCAACGTCCGAACCTCCATCTGCAGGGCCAGCGAGCTGCAGAGATGTAAGGACATGGTGCTTACCAGTTCATATCCTAGGGATGCATTGTGCTGTGATTGTTCACCCCCCACAGGACTTTCCGTATCGTTGCCCTTAGAAAACACAGGAGAATCCAGAGGGAAGTGAGATGTGACCAAAAATAACCTGCTAGTTTCTAGCCCGGACAGTCTCTTCCTCAGCTATGCAGTGGGTGTCCAGCCTTGCCTTGAAGGTCACCCTAGTGCTCATGTGGACCACATGGGGGAGACTATAGCTGTGCAGGGTCATCACTGTGGCCTGTGCTTGGTTTGGCAGTCTGCTGTCTGTTCACACCCATGGCACTTCTCTCCTTTCTCTCTGCTCCTGTGCCCAGGGCCTCCCTCGTCCACTCAATAGGGAATCCACTCCTCAGTTGAGAATCTACAGAGTTCATAAACACCCAGCAGGCCGATGGGGCCTGGTTCCCCACATCCAGTGCTCCCCTGTCATCCCATGGTTTAAGCTCTGACCACACCCAGGGAGGATTAAGAACTTTGTGAGAGCTGTTCTGTTGCTGATCTCCCCGACTTCTCCAGCTCGAAAGCCAGGTTGATGTTCTCTGGAGCCAGGATGGCTACCGCTGTCCACATCCCTGCCCATCTCACACCCCCCTTGTGTCCCCTCAGGCCTAGGCCTGTTTTGTTTACTATCAGGGAGGGAGCTTGGGCCTCTGAGCTGATGACCTCAGAGGTGTGTCTGTCTGCTTCTCTCTCTGAGGGGGTCTGTTCTAAGAAGGCAGATCTTCTGGGCTGCGAGCCCCAGATCCCTCAGACCACTTTCCTTCCTTCCTTTGTTGCCCTGTTCCAAGGTGGAATTTCCCTATGAAAATCCTGAACCCGGGCATGGCCTCACCTATACCTTCTCCGTCTCCTCTTCTAATTCTAGCCTGAGCCGGCTACTCAGAAATCCTGTTGAGAATGGCGCTCACCCTTCTGGCCTTCTCTCTGCTCCGGGGAATGCTGGTGCTGTGTGGAGGCTTCCAGCTGTGCTTCTCCAGTGAAAGCCAAAGCCATTCTCCTACAGTAAGACTCCAGAGGCTCTGCTCCATGAGGCCATGAAAGGCACCAGGATCATCACCATGCAGCCGTTCTATGATGCCCAAGGTCCACCTGTGGCCCTTTCCCAGCTATAGAAAGGGGCCGGAGGAGGAGAGAACAGTGGCCGCTACTCAGCACTGCCGATGGCGTGGTGTTGCTTCTTTAGTCCCCATGACATTGGTCACAATGCTCAGACCCAGCTTCAAAGGAGGCTGATGGATGCCCTCCCTGGGTTTGAGGCTCATTAGTCCACTTTCCATCACTGTGACATGTTGCCAAAGCTGGGCGACTCTGTCGGGAAAAGAGGCTCCTTAGCTCTCAGTTATACAGGCTCAAGGACCACATGACCTTCTTGCTGGAAGAGTCCTGAGGTGGTGCGGGGTGTTGGATGTTGGATGACAGGCACTGTATGATTGAGTGTTCTGCTCTGTCCCTCTTATAAAGCCACTAGGATTCAACCATGAGGCTCTATCCTGATCACTGTAGCTAATCCCACCTACTTTTAAACACCAAAGTGGAGTAGGATTCCCTCTTTACTATTCACAGGGGGATTCAACTCCAACACCGGAAGCCCCAGAGGCCCAGAGCCTCTGCCAAGCACCCTGCTGATGCTGTGGGGTGAGGGGGTCTTCTTGCTGGCAAAGAGAAAGGAGGTGGGCATTGGGGAACACATAGCCAAGCTCTAAAAACTCAGGTCCCCATTCCCATGTCCGCTTCTTCCCACTTGATGCTCAGCTTGCCAGGCTCTTTCCCCCTCCTTTGGGCTCCAGTTCTCTGAGAATGGGATCTGGTCTGATCTCAGAAGCCCACATCTGGTCAGTCAGTTAGTGCTAACCGACTGAGCAGTTGTGGGCTTCTATGTCCTGGGATCCTGGGTGGGAAGGCCTACCCACACCTTGCTCTTGGACTAATATGACTCATTGGCTGCTGATCTCACTTAGATCACAAGGATTCTGAACTGGGGGCAGCTTAGGTCTCGACAGACCCCCCTCCAGAGGTCTTCTCACGGGCCATTCCATCACTGTACCTTTTCCACTTCTCCTAGAGTATATCCTAGGCCCCCCTAACAAATTTCCTGGACACCTCTGACTTGGACCTCTTCACTAAAACCAGCATCTTTGACAGCTTGACTTCTGCCCCCATCTTCCAAACATGTTAGCACTTTCAGTCCCCAAACTCAGTTCCTTGGAGAACATGTTACATAGAGAATATGCTGCACACAGAATGTGCTGCATGGAGTACATGTCAAGACTCACTGAAAGCAGAGCCTGGGACAAGACTTTGGAGAAAATCCTTCACCTGGGAGGTAATCCCAGAAGTCAGGACTGAGAGAGGAGGAACAGAGAGATGATGATGGAAATTCTTTCCATAGGGGTTCCTGAGGGCTCACTGAAGGGATGGGGTGCTCTCAGAACAATAGGATATTTCTAGAATTGCCTCCATCAGGAAGGAGGGTTGGCGAGCTGCCTTCCCTTTTAGGTAGAGGTTGCTTGTGGGAAGGGATCTGCTTCCCTGCAGAGGGTTGCTTTAGGCAGTCAGGGAGGGATTCTCCAGCCTGCCCATGGGTCAGGAACAAAAAGACTCGCCAGTGCACACCGGGAAGGGATGTCTGTCAGGTTCGGGTCTCTGTAATTTACGTCATGGGGAGGGGTTCACGTTCATTTCCTATATGAAATACAACGTCATACAATTCTAGCGTAGTAACTAGGTAGACTGTTCCTCATTTAATAGAAGAAGCTGATATCTGAAAGTGGTACAATTGTGTTTGTGTCTCCCCTTTCTCCAGCATCAGATTCTGCTGAGAGAATGGTCATGAAGGGACTGGAAAGCATAAAGGGATGAACTGCAGGGGGATGATGGGAAGGAAGGTGGGCCATCCAGAGCAGTAGTAGACAGAACTCCCCTGGATGGACAGCCTGGGGATCTGAACTCATGGACTTTACCTCTGTAAAAGCCAGGTATGGGGGCACACATCTATAACCCCAGTGACAGGTTGAACCAGACAGATTCCTGGAACTAATTGCTAACCAGCCTAGCCAACTGAGACCTAGACTTAAAATGACAGTGAAGATACCTGACATCGACCTCTGACCTCCATACCCACACTCACATGTATGCATGCACACATGTTGCTGTGAAGATGTACCCCCATGCCTAAAGGTATATCTTGAGAGGAAATTGATTAAGAAGTAATATATGGAAATCGAAAGACGAGACAAATTTCAAGTAACAGACTCAGTGAGTGTTCAGCAAGACACATGGAAACAGTTCTAGACATGTTCTGAAACTTCAGAATACTAAGGATAAAACAGCTTGGAATTTGCCAAATTGGGCAAATTGGGCCACCTCAAAGGGGTGGAATTCAGATCAGTATCGACGTTGACATGAGCACTTACAGCCAAGGTCAAAGACAATGAGCACAGGGAGAAGGCAGACAGTCTGCTTCCTATGGGCCTTCTCTGAGAATGTTGTGTGAGGATGTATTTCAGAAAGCTAATAAATAAGAGAAACAAGACAGAGAGACTAAGCTGGAAAGAAGCAGCTCAGTGAAAACAAGAAGCCAGAGGACTTTGAGAAGATCTTTTTTTTCCTTTTCATGTTTCTTTATTAAGAAATTTTCTACTCGCTCTACATATCACCCACAGATGCCCTCTCCTCCCTCCTCCCACCCTCCAGCCCTCCCTCCCAAGCCACCCCACATCCCTCCATCTTCCAAATCAAGGTCTCCCATGGGGATTCAGCAGAGTCCCGCACACTGAACCTAGGCAGGTCCAAGCCCCTCCCCACTGCACCAGGCTGCTCAAGTAGTCACATCATAGGCACCAGGCTCCCAAAAGCCTGCCCATGCACCAGGGACAGATCCTGATCTCACTGCCTGGGTGCCCCCCAAACAGTTCGAGCCAAACAACCGTCTTCCATATCCAGAGGGCCTAGTCCGGTCCCATGGGGGCTCCATGGTCACTAGTCTACAGTACATGGGCTTCTGCTAGTGTGGCCGGTCATCTCTGCACGTCTTCCCATCATGATCTCGACATTCCCCGCCTGCAGAATCTCTCCTCTTTCTCATTGATTGGATGACTTTGAGAAGATCTTATACATCAAAACTGGATTTTGGCACAGACTCAAAGAAGAAAGCAATGGCATAGAGGAGAAATGCCCTTTTCTCTAATAAAACGTCTGCTAGTAGGAGAACTTGAAAGTCACAAATACTTGGTTCCAAAGTGTACTTGTTGTCCACTTGTGTGTTGACTTAGAAGCCCAGGACATCACTGTGTGCTCTCTCTACTTCCACGCCTCTGTACTGTCTCTCTCAGCCTCAGGACTTTTGGGTTGCCAATCTGTCATCCCGTGACTGTTCCAGCCATAATGTGGTTTGATCAGAATAGGTGGAAGGTCTCTCCATTTATCCTGAGGAAAAGACAGTCCCATAACTTGCCTCTTACTACGAGGCAGACAATGAGAAGGTGTGTCAGGCAGGAGATGGAATGGCACGTGTCAACCTGCTTTTCCTAGTTAAAAAACTTAGCAGAAATGGACGTCGAGATCACAACCAAGGGCTCGCGTCCAGTTGGCAGGGGTTGGTGGCTGGGTATCTGTGGCGTCAGAAAACTTCGTGGGTGATTCTACTTACTGAATTTGAGATCCTCTGACCAGGACTCATGGCTTATCTTCTGAGGCTAGGCATAGTGCCACCTGTCCCAAGTCACCATCCTGTTTAGCCAGAAAGAAAAGGCATGGCATTTGGACAGGACCAAGAACACCCTGGAAAAGCAGACAGGCATAAAAAAGCCTTGTGGCAGTGGGGAGGACAGACGGAAGGAACACTAGTGGGGGTGTGAGAAGAGAAGGTCCACTTAACATCAGTGCTGGCAGTGTCCGCCCAGGAAGACAGAAGACTTTAACATGGGACCCATGGAGGGTGAAATGACATCACACTGCTGGTCCCTGATCAGGGACCTCTTTATATACCCACAATAACGTAAATGTATTTGTTATTTAAGAACATTACTTTTCTTTTAAAAATCAGCCAGCCTAGGAGAAAAGCCCAGAATACTTGATTATGGCTCCAAGATAGAAATGCCAAAGCTGTTATTCCTGACAATGTAGATTCAAATGCTAATTGATGAAAGGGAGGGGGTAGGGGAGAGCAGAGGAAGGGGAGGAAAGACAGATCTGCTGCCGCCCTGAGCTGCATAGCTGGAAGTCAAGGGCCCCCTTCAAAGCGGAAGAAGCAGTTTGCAAGGTGGGCATCAGAAGAACAGAACACAATAGCCCCTTGTCACTCATTGTTCATATTTACCAACTGAGCTGTGCCCTAGGCCTTGGCCACTTGTGTTTACATGGCCATTGACTTTGGAATTGCTTTTACATTTTTTAAAAATCAAAGGGAGAATGACATTCCAGGACACATGAAAATTATGTGTAATCTAAGTTTCTATAACCATAAACAAGCTTTATTGGAGCCCAGCTATATTCATTGGCAGCTGGGACAGCGGCCAGAAGCCCTTAGAGCCTAGTTTCTTGCTCACCCTCACAGCACAGGTTTGCTGTCCAATTGTCCACCATGATTCATTAAAAATTTCCTTAAATGGCCGGGCGGTGGTGGCGCACGCCTTTAATCCCAGCACTCGGGAGGCAGAGCCAGGCGGATCTCTGTGAGTTCGAGGCCAGCCTGGGCTACCAAGTGAGTTCCAGGAAAAGGCGCAAAGCTACACAGAGAAACCCTGTCTCGAAAAACAAAAAACAACAACAACAAAAAATTTCCTTAAATGAATTAATTTGTGTCATGTGTGAGTGTTTTGTCTGCATGCATGTCTGTGTACCACATGTATACACTGCTGTAAGAGGCAGGAAGAGGACATTGGAACAAGATGGTTGTGAGCCATCATGTGGGTGCTGGGAATCAAACTTGGATCCCCTGGAGGAGCTGCCAGTGCCCTTAACCGTTGAGCCCTCTCTCCAGCTCCCAAGATGCATTCACTAGTTATAATCTGCTTCCTGGTCCCCATTCACACTGGGTTCACATGTCTAACTAGCATCTTCCGGGTGAGGGAGCAGGCTCCTGGGCTGCTGAGGAGACCCAGAAAAGATGGGTGTGTTTTCCATGCTTTCTATAGCACCTTGTTCTGCCTTTATCTGCAGAGTGTGGTTGGATGTGAGACTTCTCTTTGTTCACAGGAAAGCATGAGGGCTGGGTGCTGGGTGAGGTTCTCCCAGGGTCCAGGCTCTGCTGGGTGGGTCTCTTAGTTGAAGAGGGTGCTTTTACAATCACTCGTGGGGATTGGTGAGCAGTGCAAGGCCCCAGGCCCAGCCTCCCTTTAGGGCTTAGCACTAACCCGGTTTATAAATATTACATGGAACTGCTCATGCACAACTGGGGAGAATGACCCCATTGTGGGCCGTGCAGGCCTCGCATTCATTAACTTGGTGTTTCACAGGGAGCAGTCCTGGGTCCTGG